AACACATTAAAACACAATCTTCAATCTGAAAGAAATTTGCTTATTATTACTTTGTAAGACGTAAAAGGAGCAAAAAGTAAACCAATCAATGTAATAGTATATAGAATATGAATGTACAAGTATAACGGACTATGGGATTATCTGACTACAATGTAAATACTCGATACAGTAATGACCCATGGTTAAAATTCTGGCAGCCTTGAATGACAATTATAGACATAAAGAAATCTAATCTGATAGAACTGACGCTAACTGTAGTATTGTGTTACAGGAAGGCCTGGATTATAACCAATAACATGCATTTTGTGTGAAGTCATTGCACCTATGTCAGAAGACTACGTGAAAATATTAAAGGCATTCGATTGGTTGTTATATGAGTGTACGTCACAGGGGAATTCCCCACATATTCATGGCAGCAGTGAATACAAAGAAAATGTTTATACATTGGGTACCGACAGAGGTTTGTCAGGAGAAACTAAGTTAGTTCGCAAAGACGATATATAAACTTGATATGGTTTACAACCACATTATGGAATTCTATTTGCAAAGACTCCAGGTACATATTACCTGTGTATAACGACATTCCGGAGTTCTGTATGTTAAGACTCCAGGTACATATTACCTGTGTATAACGACATTCTGGAGTTCTGTATGTAAAGACTCCAGATGAATATCACCTGTGTGTAATGACATTCTGGATTTCTGTATGTAAAGACTACAGGTACATATTACCTGTGTATAACGACATTCTGGATTTCGATATATAATTACAATTGAGGTGTTTTCGTCTTAATTAGTGACATTTGTACCACGATAATTTAACGTTATTTCGAAGTTCTGTACTGTGCTATATTTCACTAACCTGTGCTCGACGAACAAAAAAATCAGAAGACAATCTGTCCGATTATTGTGTATGATTAAGGTAGGTACACTCAACTATTTATTATCAATTTTGCATCGTCACTAATTTCCATCCACTCCAGATGATAGGATCATTTGTGTTAGCGTAACGTCGTCTAATCATTTTATGTTTACCATCATTTATTTCTTTTTATTTGCGTCATCTTCTTTTATGTAAGTGTATTGCGTCATCTACTTTTGTGTCAGTTTATTGCGTCATCTACTTTTGTGTCAGTTTATTGCGTCATCTACTTTTGTGTTAGTGTATAGCGTCATCTTTTTTGTGTAAGTGTATTGCGTCATCTTCTTTTGTGCAAGTGTTTTGCGTCTTAAAAATTACAAGACATGTGTTAACCACGTCCGATATATATACCCATCAAAACTGGAAATTAAAGACACGACAAACTTTACATCAGCCGCTTACCTCGATCTTTTCCTACAACGAAACAAACATGGGCAGCTTTCCATTGAGCTGTTTGATAAGCGTGATTATTTCCATTTCTGTATACCAGCGACTCTCAAATCTCAAATCCAAGTTTTTTGCATGTCGCAAATGAATCGATATTCAAGGGCCTGTTCCCAATATCACGATTGTCGTGAAAAAAGTTGTCAATTGACGGACAAACTCGTGACACAGGGTTTCAAAATGTATTCTATTTCTTTGTGTGATATGAAGCCGAACGTGTTTGATGCTAGTTTGACAAAGGTTTACATGGCGGGTGCCGACGATAAAGCAAAAGACCCTTCCGAGCTTAGTCTTTTTATCTTGTAATTTATTTTGTTCATAGCTGCCCTTGTTATATTTCTCTATGGTTCAAATGTTGAAGTACACAATAAAAAGACATTCTCGTGTCCATTATATCTGATCGACAGCGTTAATCAGATACAACTGTAGAATGGTATAACATGATGAGGTGGTATAGTATAGTTATAGCTAGCCAAAATAGATGATTTACTACGAGGTTATTCAATTGGTTATTTTAGTAGAATGCGTCACTGGAAATATAGACATTTGATTTGCATGTACATAGAACTGACGTTGTGCGTAAAGATGGTTATCATTTAACTCTGAAGCAGACGACGAATGAGGGGCAACAAAGTCCGCAGCTCTTTGGTTTTTATTTTTAAAGGTATATTGTATGTTAAATATATGTATATCTTATTTTAGATTTATTGTTGAATTAACATTCATTGGATTGCATGTGTGAGGACATAGCATTACATATAAATAGTGTACATGTACATGACTCCTTTAAAACCGGAAGTTGTAGTCAGCCATGTTTGTTTGCATTTGGTGACACCTCACCTTGACTAAGAATGTGTATTCATACGCTTGACCAGATGGGCGTGTATAGCCTGATATACTCCCATCTGGTTAACATAGAGTTACAGGGGGAAATGATAGTAGAATGGAAATATACCCCTATATATCTATTTTGAGTTTATTTGTACAGTATTCTTAAAGCCACACTATTAACACCACCTATGTAATTGGGGAAAAGTAGTCTGAATAAATGGGTGATCCGATTAAAATAAGTATGACCAAGTAGACATACTTTCATATTATGGCAAAATGGCACATGGCACAATACAAACCAGGCGACTGATCAGTGGTCTGATAAGTGTGGTGGAATTCTGAAGACTTTTTGGTACTGTTCGTAATGACAAGTAACAACGGCTACCGATAGACATGTCGATAGTTTGGTCTGTGGAATCTTCGTAGAGAATTTACATGCTTATAACGACATCTTAGTGTTTAGTCTCTATCATGTAGATTTTACCTTTGTATGATCAACTTTCAATGTTTTGTGTCTAGGAATACCATGCAGACTTAACCTTTGTATAACGACATAGTGTTGATTTCATTTATTGGCTTCATGACAATATTTCTATCTTGTCTGTTAAGTGAGCGGGTCTCTCTCTGATGAGTTTTTGCTGATAGGAATCGTTTACATGTACGTATCTATTTAATCATGGTATGTGGTTTGAAGGTATACATGTACAATTTACCTGTGTATAACGTCGTTCTGGAGTTCTGTCTATAAAGATCCCGTATACATGTACAATTTACCTGTGTATAACGTCGTTCTGGAGTTCTGTCTATAAAGATTCTGTATACATGTACAATTTACCTGTGTATAACGTCGTTCTGGAGTTTTGTCTATAAAGATCCCGTATACATGTACAATTTACCTGTGTATAACGTCGTTCTGGAGTTTTGTCTATAAAGGTCCCGTATACATGTACAATTTACCTGTGTATAACGTCGTTTTGTAGTAAAGATTATGTATACATGTACAATTTACCTGTGTATAACGTCGTTCTGGAGTTTTGTCCACAAAGATTCTGTATACATGTACAATTTACCTGTGTATAACGTCGTTCTGGAGTTTTGTCTATAAAGATCCCGTATACATGTACAATTTACCTGTGTATAACGTCGTTCTGGAGTTTTGTCTATAAAGATTCCGTATACATGTACAATTTACCTGTGTATAACGTCGTTCTGGAGTTTTGTCTATAAAAATCCCGTATACATGTACAATTTACCTGTGTATAACGTCGTTCTGGAGTTTAAAGATTCCGTGTACAATTTATAAAGATTCCGATTCCGTATACATGTACAATTTACCTGTGTATAACGTCGTTTTGTAGTTATGTCTATAAAGATTATGTATACATGTACAATTTTCGTGTGTATAACGTCTTTCTGTAGTTTTGTCCAAAAAGATTCTATACATGTACAATTTACCTGTGTATAACGTCGTTCTGGAGTTTTGTCTATAAAGATTCCGTATACATGTACAATTTACCTGTGTATAACGTCGTTCCTATAAAGATTCCGTACATGTACATGTACAGTTTACCTGTGTATAACGTCGTTCTGTAGTAAAGATTATGTATACATGTACAATTTACCTGTGTATAACGTCGTTCTGGAGTTTTGTCTATAAAGATCCCGTATACATGTACAATTTACCTGTGTATAACGTCGTTCTGGAGTTTTGTCTATAAAGATTCCGTATACATGTACAATTTACCTGTGTATAACGTCGTTCTGGAGTTCTGTCTATAAAGATTATGTATACATGTACAGTTTACCTGTGTATAACGTCGTTCTGGAGTTTTGTCTATAAAGATTCCGTATACATGTACAATTTACCTGTGTATAACGTCGTTCCGGAGTTCTGTCTATAAAGATTATGTATACATGTACAATTTACCTGTGTATAACGTCGTTCTGGAGTTTTGTCTATAAAGATTCCGTATACATGTACAATTTACCTGTGTATAACGTCGTTCTGGAGTTTTGTCTATAAAGATTCCGTATACATGTACAATTTACCTGTGTATAACGTCGTTCTGGAGTTTTGTCTATAAAGATTCCGTATACCTGTACAATTTACCTGTGTAAACGTCGTTCTGGAGTATTGTCTGTAAAGATTCCGTATACATGTACAATTTACCTGTGTATAACGTCGTTCCGGAGTTCTGTCTATAAAGATTATGTATACATGTACAATTTACCTGTGTATAACGTCGTTCTGGAGTTTTGTCTATAAAGATTCTGTATACATGTACAATTTACCTGTGTATAACGTCGTTCTGGAGTTTTGTCCACAAAGATTCTGTATACATGTACAATTTACCTGTGTATAACGTCGTTCTGTCTGTAAAGATTCCGTATACATGTGCAATTTACCTGTGTATAACGTCGGTCTGGAGTTTGTACAAACAGTGAGTCTAATCCCACTGGGGCAGGATGGCGGGGTTCGAATCGGGAAATAGAACAAATTATTTAAAAGCCTTCATTTCCTGAAGGAATGTCAAGATTCCCTCCCAATCTTGACTGAAGCATGCAACTTTGTATTAATGTTTTTTTCTAGCCCCTGGGGCGCAGATGGAATGTGCTCAAAGAGAACACACATATAGAGCTGTAGACTTCCTTTCTTTAGTATTGGTGAATTCAATTTCAGCTAAACAAGTTTAGGTTACCGATACAGGCCCTATGAATATAAATATTTTTTTTTTGTTCATATGTTGCCCTTCATTCATCAAATGTTTGTGTGTTAAATTGGCATGTTATGTTTGACTTTCAGGTTGGAAGAAACAACAAAGCAAATGGCTACCGTACAGAAATCCTCAGGCAATGACCAAACCCCTATTGCTATCCACAACAAATTAATATTGTATATTGGTCAGAAACTAAACGGCAAAGAAGAGTTTCAACAGTTAAAGGGATTGTTCAGAACTAATCCACTTGCTGAAGATGAGTTCAGTAATATACGCTGTGTTTCTGACCTGTTCGAAAAGCTTGAAAAGCATGAGACAATACAAGTGGGAGATTATGATAAATTGGTAGAAAAACTGGAGATTGTACATCCTGAGCTGGCTTCACATGTCAAAACAGAACAAAACAGGATTGTTGAAATCACGAAGAAAGGTAAGAATGTTACTAATTGATCACAGAGGTGAAGTTATGGTGCCCTTATACAATGTATTTATAAACCGAAACAAAATATTATTTAGCCTATTATCATCAACTGTGGCAAAGATTGATTACAAAAAGATTCGTTTTGGGTTTTATATTTCATCAAAAAGAAATGCCATAATCCAAAGTCTGTACTGAGTTACTTACTTTCAAGTAGTTTTGAATACTTACATATTGAAGAGTTTCGATATGTGTCTTAGTAATACATGTTCTATCAAAATTTCAAAACGCACTGTCGATTTCGGAATTTAAAATGTGTGGGAAGTAATCGTAAGGTTATGGTGTTTCCCGGGCTTGGTATCTCATTTCAGAAATGATGAGTTTTAACATTACATGTTAACATCTGTAACATTACCTATCACAATAAGAATTTCTGGTATTTTGATGAATAAGACTTTTTTTTTAAATTCAACATTGAATTGAATTAAAAATATTTATTTAAAACTAATCTATAGTTCTTTGGATACTCCGTACTCAGATAATAGAACATAAAGCTATTTCTACGTTAAAAAATCAAAGTCATTTCAACTTCAATTAACGTTGAATTATAACGTTAGAATTAGATATAAAATAGTCCCATGTCGAAATGATGTCAAAGAATAACACTATTTTGATGTTCGACACTTTTAACTTTATTAATTATTAAATTTCGACATCATTTCAAAGTTAATTTTTAAAATGTTATTTAAATGTTATATTGTTTCAAGTCAGATTTTAAAAGTTTTATTTTTATTTTTATTATAGTTGGAATGACGTTAGAAAGTAATTTCATTTATATTTAATTATGGCAATTCATCATTTCTGTCTCATATATCCCGGAAGGATCATGGTGCCCACCATTGTTTCTTCTTTGTTTTTCTTAAGATTGGATATTTCTTATTCTTTAATTGTCAAGTCTAAGATGACAGCATGTCAGCCATTTTGCTTTCTTGATAAGTCTTTTAGAGTACAGTCCTATATTTACCGTAACAGACCAGTTTGTGTTGACATTGGTTGCTTCCTTGGTCAAGACACTACTATACATGACCTGGATGGCCTCATGTTGCTCAGCGATTTAGCCACCTTAAAATAAACTCAGTTAACAAGCTACATTTATTTATCATACAACATTTAGTTAATTGTTTCCCTATTTTTTTCTACATACAGAATAGCTTATCAACTTTAGAAAGACCAGTTGTGGGATGGTACAATGTTACAAGATGTACGCATAATGTATGCATGATATGTGCACGATAGGAAAATTGGACGAAAAAAGCTATTATCAGTGCGCACGTTGTACGATTTCATCGCACAAAAATGCGATTTTATCGTGGTTGATGTAAATTTACAATTGACTTATAACTAAACGTTGTAGAGGGTTTATCTATTCTCTAAATATACAGAAATACAACTAAGTGTATTTCCTAATTGAGTGATTAATATATAGGATGGGCACGTGTAAATATATCAGATATACACTTAATAGTTAGATACATTCGTAATCTTAAGTATTTTGTTTACAAAAAGCCACACATGACTAGCCTTAGTGTACGGACACACATTATATATACAGTATATATGTAAACATTAAATCGACGTCTCTTCCTATCACAGCAATGAATCATTTAATATCTCATACCGTCAGGAAAAAAAAGTTATTTTCATTACTTCTGTATTAGTCTCATTTTCCATCATTTTGTAAACAAAAAATACATGAACATGTAAGTCGTAAGTGTTGTATTTGTTAGTCGGCAACCAAGCCGGTACAGATCCGGACCTGTCACGTATATACCCGTGTACAGGTAAACGTTTTGTTGCCCGAGGCACCAATACTCACTCAACACTTCCTTTTCAATAGGATCTGGTCTGTATGACAGTGACCCTAACCCTAACCCTAATTCTGGCGATTAACTGAAAAAAAATTAATGGCAATATGTATCTTATAATATAGATTTTGTTTAGAAATCATACAACTGTATCAGTTTGCTATTCAAACACAACATACAGCACAGAAGGCTTTCTTTATGTGAAGGAATGCAGAAATTTAGTCCTAATTTGGTCTGAAGTATCCTCAGGCGAAGCAGTTTCGGTTTTGTATAAATGGTGGGTCACATACCCCTGTGCTGGGAAGGGTGGTACTTGATACAAGAAATACAGCATATTGTTTCTATTAGGCAGGACCTAATAAGAAGTATTTAGCAAATTCTTTAGAATCATTCGTCTGTCAGAATATTAGGATTTTTTTTAAAAAATTTGGTTTGAAGCATCCTTATGTGAATAACACATTTGTTAAAAGAGTTGGGCTAGGATTTGGGTTAGAGGGGCGGAGCTAGGGGGGATTCAATATTGATCTTCACAGCTCGTTTCCTTTAGTTTGAATAAAGCAAACCTGGTGCTTAATACACGTCCTATTGGCCTCTTCGTAGCCACGTCCCTTTCTGGGTCTTTATAAGGAGTGCGATGACTTCCTCTCTACTTAAGTTTGAGTGGCAATTTTTAGATCCCATGAGATATTTCTCCAAATGTTGTGTTTCGAATGGTTCATAAGTAATGGAAGTGACTTGGCTATTGTTTAACACATTAAAGTTTATGTTATCTATGCAGTGATGGAGTGGACAAGGCTATTCTCTGTCCGGTAAGGATGGAGCTAGGTGACCATTGGATAGTTTCTAACTGATGATAATAGAGTGGACTGTGGGATATCTTTCCTCATGGCATCATCTCTCTTATCTTTGACCGATACTGATAGAGAGGATTATGATATATTTCATCCCATCAGTTTTACCTAGTTCCTGATTGCCGCTGATGGTAGCTTCATAAATGTCATCCTACTCACTTCCACTCGTCACAATTCTAGGGTAGAAAAGAAAGACTTCATTGCTGTTGTATATCTTTCATCCGCTTATAATGCAAATCTCCTTCACCTCGAATTCTTAAGGATGCTGTTTTTTTATATGACTGTAACTGTTTATAGGTCATCTCTGTTTTCACAATTGGTACAATGCAATGGATAACATAAGAAATCAAAATCATCAAATCATATGTTCAGATTCGATATCAGTACTTAAACATATAGAAAATCAGCATCGTAATAATCAACCACAACAGCCAAACAAACAAAACAGACGGAAAAAAAACATATTGAAAATAAACACTTCTGTTTTCATCTGAACATATATTTACACACACTCATTCTAAACAATTATGATAGCAGGTACATTATAGATCCTTGACTGACCTGTGTATTAAGGATATTGACTGACCTGTGTATTAAGGATATTGACTGATCTGTGTATTAAGGATATTGATTGACCTGTGTATTAAGGATATTGACTGACCTGTGTATTAAGGATATTGACTGACCTGTGTATTAAGGATATTGACTGACCTGTGTATTATGGTATTGGCTGAACTGTGTATTAAGAATATCGACTGACCTGTGTATGAAGGATATTGATTGACCTGTGTATTAAGGATATTGACTGACCTGTGTATTAAGGATATTGGCTGACCTGTGTATTAAGGATATTGGCTGATCTGTGTATTAAGGATATTGGCTGATTTGTGTATTAAGGAATTTGACTGACTTGTGTTTACGAGTATGTAGTACATGTGAAATGTACACATTAGTACAGAATAGTTGTGTGAGTATGTACTACATGTGAAATATACACACACGTACAGGTCAGTTGTGAGAGTATGTAGTACATGTGAAATGTACACATGAGTACAGAATAGTTGTGTGAGCATGTATTACATGTGAAATGTACACACATGTACAGGTTAGTTGTGTGAGTATGTACTACATATGAAATGTTCACACATGTACAGGTTAGTTGTGTGAGTATGTAGTAGATGTGAAATGTACACACAAGTACAGGTTAGTTGTGTGAGTATGTAGTACATGTGAAATGTTCACACATGTACAGGTTAGTTGTGTGAGTATGTATTACATGTGAAATGTACACACAGGTACAGGTTAGTTGTGTGAGTATGTAGTACATGTGAAATGTACACACAGGTACAGGTTAGTTGTGTGAGTATATACTACAAGTGAAATGTACACACAAGTACAGAATAGTTGTGTGAGTATGTACTACATGTGAAATGTTCACACATGTACAGGTTAGTTGTGTGAGTATGTATTACATGTGAAATGTACACACAGGTACAGGTTAGTTGTGTGAGTATATACTACATGTGAAATGTACACACATGTACAGGTTAGTTGTGTGAGTATGTATTACATGTGAAATGTACACACAGGTACAGGTTAGTTGTGTGAGTATGTACTACATGTGAAATGTACACACATGTACAGGTTAGTTGTGTGAGTATGTATTACATGTGAAATGTACACACAGGTACAGGTTAGTTGTGTGAGTATGTAGTACATATGAAATGTTCACACATGTACAGGTTAGTTGTGTGAGTATGTATTACATGTGAAATGTACACACAGGTACAGGTTAGTTGTGTGAGTATATACTACATGTGAAATGTACACACATGTACAGGTTAGTTGTGTGAGTATGTATTACATGTGAAATGTACACACAGGTACAGGTTAGTTGTGTGAGTATGTACTACATGTGAAATGTACACACATGTACAGGTTAGTTGTGTGAGTATGTATTACATGTGAAATGTACACACAGGTACAGGTTAGTTGTGTGAGTATGTAGTACATGTGAAATGTACACACGAGTACAGGTTAGTTGTGTTGGTATGTAGTACATGTGAGTACAGGTTGACTGTATATAAGTAACAAGAAGCTACTTTATGTAAGGTGGAGTTGTGCAGCTAAACAGGTACTTGGTCAGGGAACTATATACATGAACATGGATGACTATTTAAAAGTTGATATAACTGTGTAGACTATTTGGATTATTTTTACAAAATGAATGATATTAGAATTGGTTTGACTAGTTAAATACTTGTATTTTTCAATATTTTACAGACGATATGTCTGCAGCCACAGCTTCAACAGTCAGCGCAAGTCCCACCATTGGTAAGTTTAACAGCTACATGCACACATCTGTTATAATGATACTGAACGGTTCTTTTCTGAATATGATAAACAACTATAATGTAGTGGAGTGATATCAAAGATTCCAATAGTCAGAGTAGGTTCTAGGAATCTAAGCCTGTAGTCATATTTATTGTTAACTGACCATCTGATGATAGTACACTCCTCGAAATCCTTTTCTACTATATATTTTGCTTGTCTAAAGTAGTACCTGTATTAAGGAATTCTTCTTGTGTCTGTCTATCAATAATTGGTTATTAAAGTTTTTGAGTACTTTCTCAAATTTCATATGGAGGTACCCTTGGTCCTTTCTATTGCATTATGGAATTTCGGAACGATAAAAAATGGCTAAATAATGGCTATGTTGCATGTTGACTCTTTTAATCTTTCATATTGCTATTTCCTGAGAAGCACTTAAGAACTGGATGGATCAGTTTCAAATTTTATTAGTAAGCTGTCATTTTGTAACCATCTTGGCTTAAACAGATCCATAAAGTCATCACTACCATATTCTCAAATTTAATGAAATAAAAGTAAAAATTAAAAAAAAGAAAACATAGAAAATATGCATTTTTAAATATCATACAAAATGATAAATTGGTGGGGGCAAAGATCCCTCTGGGATCTATTGTAGACAATAAAAGTTTGTTCTCATTCTTGAAAAGTACGCGATGTTTAATGAAGATCCATAGAACTTAATTAGTCTTAAAATCTCCATGGAATAATTCACGTGTTTTGGATTCTGACAGCTCCTACTAAATATATGAATCATTATGTTACAGAAATCCATGCAGACTTAATACCCTTGATAGGTGAGTCTCATCAACTTGACTGGGCACGGTGTGAAAAGAGTTACAGCAGATTTCTCAAAACCAGAATCACAACATAACTGGGCATGTTGTATGAAAATTAAGCAGATTCCTCAAAGCTAGAATCACAACTTGCACCATCAATGGAATTATTTGGACACCAAACTATTAAAGTTATATTTCTGTTCACAAATGGAAATATCTCAATGCAGTTACTCAAATTTATCCCCATTATAATTAACACCAAGATCTTCTCTCCGTTTCTATAAGATCTGACAATACACACATTGAATGGATCGTATTCTCTTGAAAACTTACTTGATCCAGTCATTCCTTAATTCTTTTAAGAATATAAAATTTTATTAAATAGCGAATCATGTTAAGTATAAAATAAAAGTTACCATAATATAGTCCTTATTATACTGTCATCAGATCCTAAATTTTAACTGATATAGTGGAATGGAAAGGAAGAATTTGTTTAAGTTTTTTATTTCCATTGGTCCACAGGACTGTTGAAGTCCGGCCAAGGTGCTGTACCCGTCTTTCGATTTTTCCTTGAAAGTTGTTTTGTCCAAAACTGTTAATGACTAAATTACAGGTAATAAGGAGACATTGTACTTTTCAAAGTTGGGAACAAGAGAATAAGGCCTGGATACAGGAAAATAGGTCTATAGGTCAGATGAAATATGCAGACTGTCTAATGTTTTACATCATTTATAAACAGTCACATTTTATGTACTCTTTGATGACTACAAATCACCACATTATTTGTGATATACTAAATGCAGTTTTTGCGATGTAAGATGTCAAATAATTATCCATTTGATAGGTGATTTTTGAGTCTTACTAAATTGTGACAAAGCTGATGTCCTTTTATCGGTATGAAGCATTTTTGTGTCAGGGACCAAATATGGAAACGTAAGGTATCGGCCCCCTGGGGCGGGAGGACGGAGCCCAATAGGGGAAATAAAGAAAATTCTTTTAAGGACGTACTCTTCTGATGTTTTGACCGGAAGTAAGACATAATTCAATATAAAATAAATTCCAATATAATATCTTGGACTTTGGTTGTCTAATACCCATTGTTATCTAGAATTGTACTGATAAAGTTAAAACATTGTTTTGTATTAAGGAAGATTTGGCCCTATAGGTACAAAGGGGTGGGGCTAGATAAAGGAAAATAGAGGTAAATTGTTAAATCTGAACCACATTTGTATAGAGCATCTTTGAATGCAATAGCCTGTATTTTGTAAAAACAGGGTGTTGCTGTTCTTGAGGCTAGAAGTGATCTGTATTGGATCCCGAGGGAGCTACTGGGAAGGGAGGAGGGGGGCATTACAGGAAAAAGAAATGCTGCAAAGAATATATGTTTATTCAACCTGCCTTTCAAAAGTCATCTCTTAACGTATTTAAAGTGTTGTACACTCATAAAAGATATTTTTTTTATTTCTTATTCTTAATATCTCCCAATTCTTTCTTTTCTTACAGATCAAACTGTAAACAGGATTGAAACAGAAACAAATGAGAAAAGGTTCATAGAGACCGAAGCTTTTCGTGATGCACAAAAGAAACTCGGAAAGAACAGAGTCATAATGATCAAGGGTAACACAGGAGACGGCAAGACTTCGACTGCCATTCAACTCATGGACTGGCTGATCAAGGAGCAGCCATGCAGACAACCTCTTCAGCTTCATGACATCAATACATTAGATAAATTGTCACCAGATTCGAGTCTGGTTACTTTTATTGATGATATTTTTGGAGAGAGAAATGTTAGAAATACGGATGTAGCTGAGTGGAACAAAAGAATTATTAATGTAAAAACACTGTTTGTAGATCAACAAATGAAGGCCAATTTTTTGCTTGTTACTATTCGTAATGAAGTATACAATGTTTTGAAAAAGCGGTCTTCGAAACCAGTTTTCACCAAAGACAACACGATTGATTTGAGTTCTGAAACATTCAGCATTGCTAAGGAAAGACGATTATTTTTAAAAGAGTATACACCAAAAGGATACAAATGGGAAGAGGAAGAAATAGAAAGCATTGTGAAATCTGCTTCAAGAATTGGGTTTCCACAATGCTGCTGCCTTTTCTATAACTCTGTGCAATTGCAGGCAAAACGAGGGAAATTTTTCGAGAAACCTTTTGAATTTTTGAAGGAAGCGTTGTTAAGATTACCAGAATGTTGTGCCATTTTGTTTCTTTTCCTCAATGGAGGGGAGATAAAAGTTACAGATCTAGACCCAAACAGTGATCAAATCAACCAAACATTGTTAGAGGAATCATTTAATATTAATCTGATTGATGGCGAGGAGGACAGATCCTCATTGAAGTACGAGAGAAAAGTAGGATTTGTAAAAGAAAGTTTAGACAGATTGCTAGGATTTTTAGTGGTGAAGGGGATACATTGGTCTGGTGATGAAGTATACAGATTTAATCATGATTCTGTACATGTCACAGTAGCCCCTTTGTATTGGAACAAAACACCAGTTGGTTATATACAGAATTGTCGAGTGGAATTTCTTGGTTGTCTCACAACCTCGAAAACATCCTCAGACATGATTGTCATATCATCTTGTCATTACAATTGTCTGTATGAACGTCTACTCCGAGAGTTTGAGTGTAAGGAGAATGTTTATCACCGTATGATTAATTCTCTAGATGTATGGAAAGATCCTGTTTTTGTAGAAAGATTTGTTGGATACTGGTTGAATGAGAGAGAAGGTGATAAACGTGCTGTGTTAAATAAGGCATGTAAATATGGTGTAAAAGAATGTGGTTTATATCTTCTGAGTGAGGGAGTCAAACCTGACAAGGACACAGACTTGTGGTCATTGATTACAGGAGGTGATGTGTTTAATCTTTACCGTGTTAAGGGAGATGTGGATGTACTTAAGAAAGTTGTTAAATACCTGAATGATGAGATAAAACATGACTTGTTAAATAAAGCATGTGATTCTTGTTCAAAAGAATGTGGTTTATATCTTCTGAGTGAGGGAGTCAAACCTGACAAGGACACAAACTTGTGGTCATTGATTACAGGAGGTTATGATATGTTTGATAAAGGAAATGTGGATGAACTTAAGGAAGTTTTTAAATACCTGAATGATGAGAGAAAACATGACTTGTTAAATGATGCATGTCGTTCTGGTTCAACAGAATGTGGTTTATATCTTCTGAGTAAAGGAGCCATACCTAAAGATGCCACACTGTTGTATGTGGCGAGGGGAGGAAGTGTGGAATTGTTACGTAAACTACTGGAGTATAAAGTCACTATAACAGTGAGGAGTAAGAAGAATAACAATGTCCTACATCTGTCGTGTTGGCGGGAGAGAGAAGAGATGGTGACGGAGTTATGTGAAAAGTATCCAGACTTGGTACGTGACACTACTAATGATGGGTGTTTCCCGCTCCATACCGCGACAGGAAACTTATCTTTATTCCAGACAGTGGAGAGAACTACACTTCAAACCTTGTATAAACAGTGTGGGAAAGACGGACATGTTGTACACAAGGATTGTGTGTGGGGTCAGAGCATGTCTAACTTAGTGGACCATAATGGATGGACTGTATTACATTGGAGTTGTAAGAGGGGAAACAAGAAGATTTGTGACTATTTATGTGAGAAGTTCCCATCATTGCTGACAATTTTAGACAAGGAAGGACGGACTGTATTACATGTGAGTTGTTGGTGGGGAAACATGGAGACTGGTATCTATTTATGTGAGAAGAGTCCATCACTGGTTACATCTGTAGACAATGATGGACGGACTGTATTACATGTGAGTTGTGAGAGGGGAAACAAGGAGATTTGTGTCTATTTATGTGAGAAGTTCCCATCACTGCTGAGAGCTGTAGACAAGGAAGGATGGACTGTATTACATGTGAGTTGTTGGTGGGGAAACAAGGAGATTTGTATCTATTTATGTGAGAAGTGTCCATCACTGCTTACATCTGTAGACAATAAAGGACGGACTGTATTACATGTGAGTTGTGAGAGGGGAAACAAGGAGATTTATGACTATTTACGTGAGAGGTGCCCATCACAATGATGGACGGTCTGTACATATGAGAAACATGGAACCTGAGTCTATTTATGTGAGAGAAGTTCCCACTGAGTGTGAGACTCACGTCAAACAACACATATAATCAACAGAAGGTAAGTATGACATCACAACCATTCTTTACAGAGAGGGAAAATCTGTTTTAGACTTGGCAAAGCAAACCAAACAGAGATACGGGTGGGCAGACAACATTTTGTATTTTCATCCTATCAAAGTGTTCGGTAAATAAACATGCAGATATTTTTTCTATGAAACGTCTGCTGATATTAAGTACAAATCATTAGCATCATTTCTGTCCCCAGTTCAGGTGATTTTAATTTTTTTATGAGGGAAATCTATCGATCGTGATGATTTTTCTGTACGGATTTGACGATCGACTTCGCACTGCGGTAAAAATAGACATCGGATGTTTTCGACCTGGTTCCAGTGATTGGTGTCAATTTCAGTGGAAAATATTCTGAACACTCGTACATGAATGGTATGGCTCCGGTCAGCTTTAACCATCAGGGGTGTTCAGGAATTACGAATTTGTGGTTAATTTGTGGGAAATTAAACAACTAACACAAAAAAACAAAATCAGTGATTATTTCAATAAACACTAAATTATTAACCAGGAAGCTTTTTAGGACTGGGCTTCATTTCTGATAAATTCTTCTCTAGGAAATACTTTTTTCAGAACTTCATTAATTGAATATAAATATTGCCAGATACACAAAACCGAATTATTTTCCTGAGCAAACATATTTTTTATGGTGTGGAAATGATGTCTTTTTCCTCAAGTGAATATATTAAAAGTTATAATCAGAATGCCACCTAACTGTTCACCAGACATTGCATGTTTTTCCTTTTAGTTGGAAGAAAAGAACTTGAGATTGCTTATTGCCTTGTGACTCATGTATGTTTAGTAATTGCTTATTTTGTAAATAATAATTATTCATTTTTTGGTCGCTTTATTTGATAAAAGATGTCTTTTTGATGCAAAACTGTTTTAGATAGGTTGTATATATTATAGAGTATATTAAGATGTGTTGATGTTTATATAACAATTTATTGTCGTAAACGGTTTGAGATTATATTACATGTGCATGTATTTTTACTGGGACATTAGATAATCCATTTTCTCTAAATGTTGATAATTTGGTTATTTATCACAGTTGTATCATTTGATAATTTTCTGTTCTATAGACAGAACTTGCCAATTAGCGTGAAAATGGTATTTAAATCATCTGTGTATAGTACTATACAAGTTAGAATTGAGTGTAGGTGATATCTATTGTCTCAAGGCTCCAGTACTTTTCAGGGATGGAACTTCCCTCTGGTACATCTCTACAGTACAATTGTTATAATACACCTGTAGGTGATATCTATTGTCTCAAGGCTCCAGTACTTTTCAGGGATGGAACTTCTCTCTGGTATGCATCTACAGTACAATTGTTATAATACACCTGTAGGTGATATCTATTGTCTCAAGGCTCCAGTACTTTTCAGGGATGGAACTTCCATCTGGTAACTCTCAACAGTACAATTGTTATAATACACCTGTAAGTGATATCTATTGTCTCAAGGCTCCAGTACTTTTCAGGGATGGAACTTCCCTCTGGTACATCTCTACAGTACAATTGTTATTATACACATGTAAGTGATATATATTGTCTCGAGACTCCAGTACTTTTCAGGGATGGAACTTCTCTCTGGTATGCATCTACAGTACAATTGTTATAATACACCTGTAAGTGATATCTATTGTCAAGGCTCCAGTACTTTTCAGGGATGGAGCTTCCATCTGTTAACTCTCTACAGTACAATTGTTATAATACACCTGTAGGTGATATCTATTGTCTCAAGGCTTCGGTACTTTTCAGGGATGGAGCTTCCCTCTGGTAACTCTCTACAATACAATTGTTATTATACACATGTAAGTGATATATATTGTCTCGAGACTCCAGTACTTTTCAGGGATGGAACTTCTCTCTGGTATGCATCTACAGTACAATTGTTATAATACACCTGCAAGTGATATCCTTTGTCCCAGATCTCTGATACATAGTTTTACTGTAATGCATCCTGATGTTGTTATTATACAAAACAAGTATTCACCAGATTGCTACACCCTTGTTAAATGGAGCCAAATAGCGAATAAATAGTGTCAAAAACACATTTTCAAAACTTTTGTTAAATCTCAGTGATATTATGCTGAGGGTGTTTATCATTTCTGTCATCCACAAGTCCCTTAACTGACATGTTTCAAAAAGTATTTTTCTCTTGACAGTTTTCTTTTTCATTGTTATCAAGTAACATAATATAATATGGTGAGAATTGTTTGTTTATTTGTTGATGTATATGATAGTGAAATGTAATTTATATGGATACATAATGAAACATGGGAGGTAACTTCGATTACTGGAAAATTATTGGCTTTTATACAGAAAGTACAAATACTAAGATGTTTTCTGTGACAGACTGTGTTGTACTTCAATACTGTAATGTTTTTCAAGGAACGTGTATATAAACTTACATTTTATTATTTGATGTATATATATATATATATGTGTGTGTGTGTGTGTACTGCATAACAATATTATACAGAAAACAATTTCATATTTTGGATTGAGATATAAAGTGTGGTAGGAAAATTATATCTACATAAATGAACTTTGTTAACAAATACACAATAGAAATTTGTGAAATAAAATTATCATAATTATACAGACACATGACTTGTATTATTCATTAGCTTTTTATATTAAGTAGGTTGTGTGTCCTGAGACAATTGTTAACCCCTATTGAAGGGGGTGCTGTCAGTTTATGGTGGAGGATCCACCGGTCACTCAACTGTTACCTTCTTCAAGAAGACTAAACAACTATATAATGATATTTGGCTAGGAGGTATCCAGGATGAAGTACTATATATGAATGATCTTGACCTACTTTCAAAATAACAAAGGTTAAATATATTTTTTAAAATTTTGAAAATCTACTCTTTTTAAATTAAAGAAGACACAGGATACTGATATTTGGTCAGGAGGAGTTACTAAAAAGTTTTCTCACAAATCATCTCAACCAATTTTGAAGGTCACTGAGGTCAAACAGAACATTTATGAATATTCTCAACTTCAAAACAGAGTCCTGATAAAGTATTCCAGCAGAAAGTATCTAGAAGGAAGCGCTATCAAGTTTCCTAATACAAATGACTTTGACATATTTTCAAGGTCGCCAAGGTCAAATGTGATATATTTGTAAGAATCATCCATTTAAGTTCCAGAAATCCCAGAGTCATAGTATTTGACAAGTAGACACCTGTAGTAGAGTACTTTCCCCATGATAATTGACCTTGAGCATTCCTCAAGGTCAGAGAGGTAAAATATTTTAAGAATGGTAAGTATGGTCATCGCAAATTACATTTGACCCGGGGTAAAGATGTATGGAAGTAAATGCCAGTGGTGGAGTGCTGACAATTTTCTTCCTATAAACGACCTTGGCCTATTTTTCCAGATCACAGTGGTCAGATGTTATTGCAAGTTTAGTAGACCCAGAGTCTTAGTGTTTTACTGGGCCTTTCGTGGGATGGAGTGCTATAAATTTTCCCTGGTGGATGACCTTGACATATTTTCAAGGTCATATAATTCAAATGCCGAATAATGTAAATTAAAAACAGTTATTAGTCTTTGAAATAATACAAGATCCTAGTAACTTGTAAGCAAGTTACTGACATGGAATTCTACAAAATTTCCTTTGATTACTTTCAAGATATCGGGTCACATTCGTTACAAAAACCCAACATAACTTGAAACCCAGATAATCTAGCGAGTTCATCCTTGATTAAATCATAAACATCAAAACGATATCAGTTCTGATGCTTGTGACTGCATATTGCATTAAATTTGTCTAGACAGGCTTCAGATTGATTCAGCTCTCAGAAATGAACATAAACATGAAAGAAGAATCAAATCGCAAATAAAGTTTTGGTGATGTGCTATCATAATAATCTGAGAACGTGTGAACAATATTTTCACTCATTTAATATAGTTGAACACCTCATTCTGACATTAACCTCTACATACAGAACATCTCATTCTGTCACAACCTCTACATACAGAACACCTTATTCTGACATTAATGTCTACATACAGAACACCTCATTCTGTCACAACCTTTACATACAGAACATCTCATTCTGACATTAACCTGTATATACAGAACACCTCATTCTGACATTAACCTCCACATACAGAACACCTCATTCTGACATTAACCGTTACATATAGAACACCTCATTCTGACATTAACCTCTACATACAGAACACCTCATTCTGACATTAATCACTTCATACAGAACACCTCATTCTGACATTAACCTTTACATACGGAACACCTTGTTTTGACATTAACCTCTACATACAGAACACCTCATTCTGTCACAACCTCTACATACAGAACACCTCATTCTGACACAACCTCTACATACAGAACACCTCATTCTGACATTAACCTCTACATACAGAACACCTCATTCTGACATTAACCTCTACATACAGAACACCTCATTCTGACATTAACCTGTATATACAGAACACCTCATTCTGACATTAACCTCTATATACAGAACACCTCATTCTGACATTAACCTCTATATACAGAACACCTCATTCTGGCATTTACCTTTACATAGAGAACACTTCATTCTGTCACAGCCTCTACATACAGAACACCTCATTCTGACATTAACGTCTACATACAGAACACCTCGTTCTGACATTAACCGTTACATACAGAACACCTCATTCTGACATTAACCTGTACATACAGAACACCTCATTCTGACATTAACCTCTATATACAGAACACCTCATTCTGACATTAACGTCTATATACAGAATACCTCATTCTGACATTAACCTCTTCATATAGAACACCTCATTCTGACATTAACCTCTAAATACAGAACACCTCATTCTGACATTAACCTCTACATACAGAACACTTCATTC